GAACATTTTCAAAAGAAGACAGAAGGAAGGCCAAAAGGCACATGAAAACATGCTCAAAGTCACTAATTATCCGAGAGATGCAAATCAAAACAATGCGGTACCATCTCACACCTGTCAGAATGGCCAACATCAACAAATCAACAAAGGACAAGTGTTGGTGAGGTTGTGGAGAAAAAGGAACCTTCGTGCACTGCTGGTGGGAATGCACACTGGTGTAACCACTGTGGAGAACAGTGTGGAGTTTCCTAAAAAACTGAAAATGGAACTCCCATTTGACCCAGTAATCCCACTCCTAGGAATATACCCCAGGAAACTAGAAACACCAATCAGAAAGGATATATGCACCCCTATGTTCATAGCAGCACAATCTACAATAGCTAGAATCTGAAAATAGCCTAAGTGCCCATCAGCAGATGATTGGATCAAAAAACTATGGTACATCTACACAATGGAATACTATGCTGCCATAAAAAAAAAAGGAATTCTCATCATTTGCAGCAACCTGGATAGAACTAGAGAACATCATGCTGAGTGAAATAAGCCAGTCAATGAAAGAGAAATACCACATGGTTTCACTCATTTATGGATAGTAAAGAACATTATAAACTGACAAACCAAAAGTCAGATATAAAGACAGTAAAGCAACAAGCAGACTGTAAAATTATAGCACAGAGGGTAGGGAGATCTGGGGGAGATAAGAGATCAACCGAAGGACTTGTATACATGCATATAAGTACAACCAATGGACACAAAACTCTGGGGAGGGAGGGTATGTATGGGGGGGGGGGCAATGTTAAAATATGTACATAGATAATAATTTAATTAAAAAAATAACATTAAAAAAAGAAAGTGGACTGACAATTCTTGGAGGGAAGGGGGTGTGAGGGGTGCAGGAAGAGGTTGGATAAAAATATTTTTTTAATATATTTTTTATTGATTTTATACAGAGAGGAAGAGAGAGGGACAGAGAGTTAGAAACATCGATGAGAGAGAATCATTGATCAGCTACTTCTTGCACACCCCCTACTGGGGATGTGCCCGCAACCAAGGTACATGCCCTTGACCGGAATCGAACCCCGGACCTTCCAGTCTGGAGGCCGATGCTCTAGCCACTGAGCCAAACCGGTTTCGGCATTGGACAAAAATCTTATGTCTAATGGATGAAGATAATGGTAGGGGTAAGGACATGGGATGGGGTGGAATCAGGTGGAGGGGAACTATGTTGTGGAAAAAGAGGAACATCTGTAATAATCTGAACAATAAAGATGTTATTTAAAAAAATAAAACTATGAGGAATCACTTCACACCTGTCAGAATGGCTAACATCAATAAATCAACAAACATCAAGTGTTGGGAGGATGTGGAGAAAAGGGAACCCTAGTACACTGTTGATGTGAACACAATTGGTGCAGCCATTATGGAAAACAGTATGGAGTTTCATCAAAAAATTATAAATGGAACTTCAGTTTGACCCAGAGATCCCACTTCTGGGAATATGTCCTAAGAATTCCGAAACACTAATCAGAAAGAAATATATACACCCGTATGTTCATAGCAATGTAATTTACAATACCTAAGATCTAGAAACAAAGTATCCATCAGTAGTTGAGTGAATAAAAAAGCTGTGGTACTTTTAGGCAATGAAACACTATGCAGCAATAAAAAAGAAGGGTATCTTATGCTTTGCAGCAGCATGGATGTACCTGGAGATAATTATGCTAAGTAAAATAAGCCAAATACAAATATCCCATCATCTCACTTATATGTGGAATCTAATTAACAAAATAAACTAACAAAATGGGTCCAGAAGAATGGATGCAAGAAGAAAGCTGAGAGATCTTAGAAGGAAAAGGGTAGGGGGATATGACAAGAGAATAATCAAAGAACATATGTGAATACATGCATATGCCATGGAAACATACAATAAGAAACGGGAGGGAGAATGGGGGATATCTGTCATTCTGTCTACAATAAATAATAAACTTAACAATAAAAACCTATTATAGCCGAAACCGGTTTGGCTCAGTGGACAGAGCATCTGCCTGTGGACTGAGAGTCCCTGGGTTCGGTTCTGGTCAGGGGCATGTAAATTGGTTGTGGGCACATCCCCAGTGGGGTTGGGGGGGTTGCAGGAAGCAGCTGATCAATGTTTCTCTCTCATCGGTGTTTCTAACTCTCTATTCCTCTCCCTTCCTCTCTGTAAAAAAAAAAAAAATCAATAATATATATTTTTTTTTAAAAAAAAACTACTATATCCTATACTCAAAAATTATTAATTTTGTTATGTGAATATTACCTCAGAATATTATCATTGCAGCCTGCTATTGCATTATATCTCTCTAAAACATGTTAAATTGCTACACTCCCGGCACAACATTGTATGCAAAAACCTAAAAGAAAATCTCACATTTAAAAATTTAGATGTGTTGACACCTATGTCGACATAAAAATACACACTCACAACAGCACAAACAGACTGCCTATTCAATAAGTTATAGAGAACTAGTGGCCTGGTGCATAAAATTCATGCACTGGTGGTGGAGGGTTCCCTCAGCCCAGCCTGCACCCTCTCCAATCTGGGAACCCTCAGGGGATGTCTAAATGCCAGTTTAGGCCCGATCCCTGTTGGATATCCCTCTTGGAATCTGGGAATGCTGGCTCCTAACTGCTCACATACCTGCCAGCATGGTGGCCCCCAACTGCCCCCTGTCAGTCTGCTCACCCCCTACCCTCCCCTCCGGCCTGATCACCCCCAACTGCCCTCCCCTCCTGGCCTGACTGCCCCTAACTGCCTTTGCCTCAGCTCCCCCTCCATGGCTTTTTCCAGAAGGACGTCTGGAAGGTTTCCCGGAAAGTCTCCCCATCTAATAGCGTATTAACCTTTTATTAGTATACATCATATTATTCTGAAATAAAGAATTCTTAGATTTGTTAATATTATTCTAAAATACTATGCTACAAAGCAAAAATTTAAATAATAATCTAGATCAGTAGCTGTGACTTGAGAGAACAAGCACATCTTAATTACTATCATACTAGTAATACTAGTTTAAAAAAATTACTATTCATGGAGCACTGTTTGCCCAAATAAGCACTATTATAAGCCTTTTAAATGAATGCACACAATAATCAACAAGGAAAGTACTACTGCAATCTTCCATTTTACAGATGATGGAACTAAGGCACAAGTTACTCATACAAAAAGAAAGTAGTAAAGCCAGGAGATGGATTGAGGTAGTTTGTCTACAATCTCTCCTACTATAACTCCCTACCATGACAACAAAAATTACGGTCAAGAGTGTTTTGCACATTGACAGTTCACTTTGTTTAGCACATATAATTCAACTACACATATGTATATATACACTCTTTTTAATTAATAATTTAGAGTTGGGCTAAGGTGGGCAAAAAGAGAAAAAAGGAAGACATCTGTAGTAATATTTACAACAAAAAATACCCCAAAATTTTTAATAATTTTAATAATTAGGTACAAATCAAAATATTAAATATTTAGTTAACTACTAAGAGCAAAATTTATACAAATAATATAAACATAGTTACTAAGATTAATTCCTAAAAATTTTAAATTGGATATATACTAGAGGCCTAGTATACAGATTTGTGCACCAGTGTGGACCCTCCGCTGGTCTGCGGGGATCGGGCCAAAACCAGCTCTCCAACATCCCCTGAGGTGTCCCAGATTGCAAGGGGGCTCAGGTCAGGCTGTAGGAACTCACCAGTGCACAATCAGGGTCAGAAGGGACCACGAGAGGTCTCCAGGGCATTTCCATCCCATCTTGCCCAGTCCCGATGGGGCAGGCAGGCCGGGGAGAGGCTGCAAGAAGTTGGCCTGACAGGGAGAAACCCCGGAAGGGCTCCAGGGCATGTCTGGCCCATCAAGCCCAGTCCCAATCAGACAGACCCCATCAGCCAGCTGACCTACCAGTTGATGCATCTGCCCTCTAGTGGTCAGTGCACATCATACCGACTGGGTGAATGGTTGGAGGGACAATTAACATATTAAGCTAATATGTTACCTATTATATATACATACTGCCCTCTCACAATTCGGTACACCTCAGGGGATGTCAGAGGACCAGTGTACAGAATCTGCCCGATCCCCACAGACCAGCCAAGAGACCCCACGGGTGTGCCGGGCCTCTAGTCCTACCTAATGAGGAGGGAATATGCTAATTGACTCTCACACTGTCGCAAAGATGGCAGCACCCACCACCAATAAGGAGGGAATATGCTAATTGACTGCCCCACCTCAAAGATGGAGGTGCCCACAGCCACAAGACGGCAATGCCAAGTCCCCTCAGACCCACTGGGGCAACAGGTGTACCACAAGGCTGGGCCCAGCCTTGCCTCACACCTACCTTCAGAGTCCCCCCCAGTCCCCTCAGCCCCCCAGGACTGGTTTGAGGTGCAGGCAAGCCTCAGATGGCAGCTGTACAGCCACCCAGGGCTGGCTGAGGAGCACGCAAGCCTCAAATGGCAGCTGTCCAGATGCCTAAGGCTGGCCCAAGGCACAGGCAAGCCTTGGATGGATGGCAGCTGCCCAGGCACCCAGGGCCAGCCCAAGACACAGACAAGCCTCAGAAGGTGGCTACCCAGGCACCTAGGCCTGCCCGAGGCTCAGGTAACCAGGGTGGGCTGATGGGCTGCCAGTAGTGGCAGCAGCAGAGGGGTGATGGGGCATTGCCTTCCCCTGATCACCAGGCTGCTTCCTGCCCCTAAGGGCTCCTGGACTGTGAGAGGGGGCAGGCCGGGCTGAGGAACACCATGCCTCTAGTATGCATATAAATTCTTTGGTTAATCTCTTTCCACCCTCCCCCTCCCCTTTCCCTCTGCGATTCATCAGTCTGTTCTATGTTTCCATGTCTGGTGATCAGTATGCATCATAGCTACTGGTTGAGTGGTCAAACAGTCACACACTTAGCATATTAGCCACTTATATACATATATAGGTGATTTTGTATATAAAATTTAATATTTACCTTGTTCTAGGCCGTTGTTCATCTTCAGATTCACTAACTTCTTCACTAACTCCTGATTCCTGAAAATCCGAATCTTCCGAATCTTCACTGCTCACTTGAATAAAAAAAATATAAAAGTTTCTAAATACTTCCCAATGTAACTATAATTCACTTAATTTGTCAATAACTTCACATTAAACAGACCACTGTGAGAATATCTATAACATATACATTAATGACGCTATATCATAAACATTAGATCAGTTAATAATTTAAATGGTATTTATAAAAATAATTCAAAGCTATTCCAACTATAATTATAAAGCTATGGTTCTACATAGAAATATACGTATTAACTATATGTGAATTTTAAAAATAAGATTTTACCTGTCAATAAAATATATCAATAATTATTAAAAAAAAATAAAGTAAAATAAAATAATTCTGATTATTTATAAACAAGTATAATAGGCTGGCCATGATGGAGTACAGACTCTCTGCCATTTATGAGAACAAAAAATTATGGAAAGAATACATAAAGAAATGACGAAAGGAAAAAAATGTATTTGATGCTGACCTCCAAAATGTCAGTGGAATAACTGGAAGCTACATTAACACTCTCCCAGGACTAAATTGGAAACACAACTAAAATACAGAAGAACCACCCTGAAAATTCAACTATTATAAAAACTAGCTGGAGAGAACACTGATAATCAAAGACAGAAAGTGGAGACCACATAGAGATTGGCAGAAAGTTCAGAGGCACTAAAAGGGCTAGCCAGGCTCCACAGACAGTAGGTGAGGTTCTAGAGGGATATCTCAGCTGTGGGAGGTTCTCACTGAGAACTCTGGGGACTCAAAATCCAAGATGGGCTTACCAGCCAGTGTACAAAAATAGAGAAAAGGTGCCCACATCCTACTGTCAAAAGCAGCAGAATTGCTGTCTGCCAGCAAGAGACAACTAACTATAAAGGCAGGCACCCTCTTAAAGGGCCCATGCACAAAATTTACTGGGCAGCCACTCACCTTGGGCTGACAGAAGGAGGGCAGAGCAGACTGGAGCTTTGTGAGCACAAACCAGAATTGGTGGCTCTGAGTTAAGAGCTCAGAGGGCAGCCACCTTTGTTTCAAGTGCAGAACCACTTCCACACCAGGTGGAAACTTTGTTATCCTGGTAGAATGTGCCTGAGGGGGATTCAGTTGGAAGAACTCTCCCACCCACCCTGTAGTACATAGCCTGAAGATAGTCAAAGATGATAAAAATCAGACTGCCAACACAGACAGATCTCAGGAAGCTTTGAGGCTTTGCCTCATCTAATCCAGAAACCAAGGCTAGGAAGCTGCTAAAATCTTACACAAAATATAAGCAAATCGGATCTATCAATATATTAAAAAGATTATACACCATAACTAAATGGAATTTATTCCAGGAATGCAAGGCTGGTATAATATTCACAAATCACATAAACAAACTGGAAAAAAAAATCACATGATCATACCAATAGATGCAAAAAAATCATTCAATAAAATCCAACACCCATTTTTTTATAAAAACAGACAGAAAGTGGGAATAGAGGGATCAAAACTGAACATAATAAAGACCATCTATGACAAACCTACAACCAACATCATATTCAATGCTCAAAAACTAATATTATTTACCCTAAAAAAAGGAAGAAGACATGATGTCTACTTTCACCAATATTATTTTCTGCATAGTACTGAAGTCCTAGCCACAGCAATCAGACAAGGAAAAGATATAAAAGGCATCCAATTGGAAAAAAGAAAGTGAAACTCTCATTATTAACAGATGACATGATATTGTATACAGAAAAACCTAAAGACTACACCAAAAAAATGCTATATTTAATAAATGAGTTTGGCAAAGTAGCAGGGTGCAATTATACATAATAATAATGACTCTCAGAACAAAAAACTAAACAAACAATCACACTTATCATTGCAAAAAAATATATATATGCTTAGGAATAAACTTAACCAAGTTAGGTAAAATACTTGTACTCGGAAAACTACAGGATGTTGAAAAAAGAGATAGAGGAAGATATAAACAAATGGAAGGACATACCATGCTCATGGATTGGTACAATTAACATAAAAAATGTTAAGAGTTGTTGAATAAACACTTGCATCCCTTCTTCTAAATTCACTTGTTAACAGTTTACCACATTTGCTTTATCTCCTTGTCCATACAAACTAAACCATTTGAAATTAGGGCAGATATAATGACACTTTATCATTAAGCATAAGGATGCTGTCCAAGATAACTAAACATCCCTATAACACTTGAGAAAAATAACATCAATTTAATATCATCTAATATAAAGGCATTAAATATATTTTTAAATTATCACCAAAATAACTTCTAGAACTTTTTTCAAATTTAGGTGAAAATTAAAGCTCGCATGTTACACTTGATTAAGTAAGCTATTCTCTTTTAATTTCTTCCCATCACCCAATTCAAGTTTTTACACAATATAAGGATACAAGAGTATGCAAATTTTGGAAACTCATTCCATTTCAAATATAGTATCAGTCATTACATTTAAAAAGATAAATAATGGGATTTAACTTACTACCTCCTACACAAACAAAAAACAATAGGCTAGTAAGTTACCCACAGAAGAAGACAGTAAAAACATAGGCCATAGAAAACCTGGGTTTTGCCAAAACCGGTTTGGCTCAGTGGATAGAGCGGCGGCCTGCGAACTGAAAGGTCCCGGGTTCAATTCCGGTCAAGGGCATGTACATTGGTTGCGGGCACATTCTCAGTGGTAGGGGGGGGGTGCAGGAGGCAGCTAGTCGATTTTTCTCTCTCATCAACCTTTCTAGCTCTCTATCCCTCTCCCTTTCTCTCTGTAAAAAATCAATAAAATATATTTTTAAGAAAAGAAAAGAAAAAGAAAACCTGGGTTTTAATAAAGCATTTTGAATATAATTGTGCCCACTAATGTACTCTATCCTAAGCTCAGCCTTTGAAGCAAAATCAGTATTTCTCTTTATTTAACTGCTAAATTGTTCAATTACTTTTATGAAATCTGAAAGAGAAGTCTGTAGTCATGCTGCAAAGAAATTTATGATATAAACATTCACAAAATGATGTACTGTTATTTATTTATTAACATGGAAAAGGCCATGACATACTAGTATTAAGTATTCGTATGTAGAGGGGGACTTCCTCTTCTTTAATGGGTAACTATTGCTCAATAGACCTTTAAATGTTCAGAATTCCAAGATTTTTTTCTTTAGCTCTCCATTTGCTCAACATTATAGATCCATTAGGCCCGTGATCAGCAAACTGCAACTCCCGAGCCACACGCGTCTCTTTGGCCCCTTGAGTGTGGCTCTTCCACAAAATACCAAGGCCTAGGTGAGTCTATTTTGAAGAAGTGGTGTTAGAAGTTTAAGTTTTAAAAATTTGGCTCTCAAAAGAAATTTCAATCATTGTACTGTTGATATTTGGCTCTGTTGACAAATTAGTTTGCCAACCACTGCACTAGGCAACCTCAAGAATTCTGTGGTTTTAAAAATGTACTTCTACGCCCAAACAGGTATGGCTCAGTGGATAAAGCGTCGGTCTGGGGACTGAAAGGTCCCAGGTTCAATTCCGGTGAAAGACATGTACTTTGGTTGTGGGCACATCCCTGGTGGGGGGTGTGCAGGAGGCAACTGGTCGATGTTTCTCTCTCATTGATGTTTCTAGCTCTCTATCCCTCTCCCTTGCACTCTGTAAAAAATCAATTATATATATTTTAAATGTACTACTACTCCAAAAACCCAAAAGTCACCCTAAATTTTATCTTTAATATCAGCTAGTAAGGCCTAACAATTCAGCCTCCTATATAACTCAAGTCAATCCCACTCCAACATCTACACTTAGCATCAACTACAATAACCCCCAAACAGATTCAAAGGCTTCAGTCTCAAAGAATAACAGGCAACTAATCTGATCTTACTATATCGTTTAGTGACTTGTGCTGGGGTTGTGATTCTTGGGTACCAGTAATGAATGCCCTCTGCCTTTATCTAGGTTACACCTGTGTTCATCAAGTTGTCAAATTATGAAATGCACAGTTCTCTCTATTTATAGTATACTTCAAATAAAAAATTTTTAAGGACAGCATTCCTCTTTAGATATACTGAAATAATTAAATTGTAAACAGGTACATTGTACTGTCTGAGAATTATATCAATACAGCTATGATTTTAAAAATTTAAAAAAATATATACTTTTCTTCGATACATGGATGTTCATAGCTTTATTTATAATTACATACTTATTAAAAGTATTAAAAACTGGGCAAAAAAAAAATCAATAAAATATGTAAAATAAAAAAAAAAAATAAAAAAAAAAAATAAATTAAAAAAAAAAAAAAAAAAAAAAGTATTAAAAACTAATCCTTTCAATGGCGCTCCAATCTATAGAGCCTACTGGACTCCTAAGTCATTTCCACAAATGCTTTCCTATTTCTAGTGGCAAAGAAGAATTAATCTACCCTAAAGGAATTAGATTAACAGTCTGCTCCTAAGAAGCAAAACACTGTCTTTGAACTTTTTTTAGCCTCTCTGTAAAAGAAAAAAGAAAAAAAAAGATGGCCAACTGAATCTCAATATAGAATCATTTTCTGGCCATGTGGCTCAATGGCTGGCGCATCATCCCATACACCAAAAGGTTGCAGGTTCAATTCCCAGTCAGGGCACATACCTAGGTTGCAGTTTCGACCCTAGTCAGAACATATACAGGAGGCAACCATTGATGTTTCTCACATTGATGTTTCTCTCTCCCTTCTTCTCTCTGTAGAAATCTATAAAACATATCCTCAGGTGAGATTTTTTAAAAAATCCAAAATTATGAAAATTCCTGTGTCAAAGAGTGCTCCAAATGAAACCATACATTGTAAGACATACTACTTAGATATATTTTTAAAAGGAAAGAAAAGGTTCTGAATAACTATAGTCCCTTCCAAAAAGGAAATCTTAAATTAAGGGGAAAAGATTCTAAGAGTATAAACAAGGCTGGCTCAGGAAGAAAGTTGAACAACATATCCAAGATAGTGTCCATAAAAGTAATGATGGTACATCTTTAATAATAAATAGACTATTAAAAAAAGTTCATTATCCAGACTGGTTTTTGTAAAAGCTCCTTTGTGCTCCTTTGTGGGTGCATAATAAAGTTCCATGGGTTGTTCACTTTCCAGTATTTCTCACTGACCAATTCCAAAGAAAAAGAGCCATTTAAAACAGTGAACTGCCCACTGGCTGTTGCTATATAAATGGTATACTGCTTCTCGCTTGCTGTATCAAGGGTCATCTGGTTTGATTCTCCTTTTCTTCGAAGTTCTTCTAAAGCTAACCTCACAGCCAGATACTTGGATAAGTGATCAACGGTGGCATTACCAGAAGTCTTTATGTATCTTGTCTGTGCACTGTCATCTTTTTCCATGAGTGTGGGATGAGGTCTGAACACTAACTCAATTTCACTAGCACCATCCATTACGGGATCAATTGCCACTGTTGCGTTATTGTTATCAAGCTCAAGCCCAGAATCATCTGATGTTTTGGTCCATTTGTTGCTAGGCCCTGCTTCCTGATTGCTGTGTGTGGATGCATTACTACAGTGAGAACTGTCACCATTGTCTTCTGCTCCACTACCATTTTCAATCTGTTGTTTCTTGCCTCGCTGTAGTCTGTTCATGGCCTGTATCTTCAGTCCTTCCTCAATGCTGTGACTCAGTGCTTGCTGATTATTGTGCTTATTGACTCTCTCTTGATGAGCTTCATACTCATCACGACTTGTATAAATTTTGCTGATGAGTGCATCAAAGTTCGGATCTGGCCTTAGCGATCTTTTGGAAATAGCTTTTTCCGACATGTCGGACATTCTTTATTGTTCTGAGGGCTGTAATAATGCAATCTGCACAAAAACGGTGTAAACACTCCTTTGTAGTCATGGTGTTCTTCAACATATCCAAACAAATTGGGCACATTAATTCACTGTGTAGACTTCGAGGTGAAACCACAATTTCCAAGCCATCTGTTATTGCCTCCTGAGGTGTTTGTTGTAATTCATATAAACTGAGTTCCCATGTTTTGCTTAATGGTTGAGTTCCTTTCGTCTGCACAGCCTAAGACATTGCGGCTCCCGGCCCCGCCCGGACTCCGCTGCCCGCGGCCAGAGTGAGACTCAGGTCCAAGCCGCCATGGCCGCAGCACAATATGGCGAGCCTGGGCTTCCGCAATGGAGCTCGGGAACTACAACAGGGGCTGCTCAATATTCATGAGAGACCGAGGGGGAAGCTGGCTGGGCCAGCGCTGCAGGGAGTGCGGGAAGGAGCAAGCAAGCGAGGGGGCAGAGGCGCAGGACTGGGACAGGGAGCGCCACCTCGTGCTGGCCTGGAGGCCCCAGCCGCAGCCACGTCCCGCCAGCCGAGGCCTCCGCCCCCCTATTGAAGTAAGGGGGTGATCAGAGGTGGGGCCGGCTTGGGGAAAGAGCTCCAGGCTGAGCGTAGTGGTGGGGGCCCATCGAGGTGGGGCCAGCAAAGTAGAGGGGGGCTGCATGAGGTTGGCTGGCCGGAACTATCCCCTATTGGGGTGGGGGGAGGGTGATCAGAGATGGAGCCGGCCATGGGGAGGGGTCTGAGGAACCGGTTAGCCAGACACCCTGCCCTTGATCAGGTGGGAGATGCTGATGCCAGCCAGGCTGTTATATTGTATCTTCTTCCCGTTAAACAGTGGTATGCCATAGGCAATCAGAGCCTATGGGCCAGGGGGAGGGCCAAGAGGTCGGCCTTCCCCCATCCCCCTCACAGACCTTGCCCTTGGCGCTGGGTCAACCTCTGTGTGTGGGATGATGGGGGGCGGGGCCTTGGCCTGGAGCTGTCACATGACCTGCCACCCACCCCGGGTTCCCCCAGTTCCCCATTCGCCATCAAGGATTGGAGCCTGACTTCCAGGGGGAGGGACGGAGAGATCCAAGAGGTCCACCATTCCAAACTGCTTGCCAGCACACCTAGAGTGAGGGTCGCCCTCTGTGTGTGGGGGGGATTAAGGGGGCAGAGACGTTGGCCTGCCACCCATCCCTGGCTCCCCATTCGCCATTGGGGGATGGAAGCTGCTGGCTAGGAAAAGGACTGAGAAGTGAAGTGGTTCTTCTCCCCACCATGCCCAGCGACCTGGGGCCCACAGATTGCTCCTGCCGCCACATCGCTGGGGGGCCCACTGTTTGGTTGTCCGAACCTTTGTGACAGCCCTAGGCTATTATTAGTATAGATTATGTTGTAAAACCTGTATGTAACTTACATTAAAAATTAAAATGTCTTACCCTTTCTTCTATTTCTGCCTTTGGCTTCTTTGTGCTCTTTAGGCTTTGTCTTTTTTTCTTCTCCAGAGTCTCCATCACTCACAGTCAGTTTGTGCCTCAAAAGCCTATGTCTATATCTTGGTTTCTTAGATTCTTCAGAATCTGAATCTGATTCTGAATTGACTTGATTTTTTTCTTCTAAATGGAGAAAATAAATCAGTAAAACCTTCAGCCTTTTTTACTTTAAAAATTTTGTAAAATTACGTATTTTGTTTGCTGACAATGATTATGATTTAAGAAAAAGCTAAGAGTTGTATATTTACCTGGGTATTATTGGTGAGACCAGGCAATCTCATACATCAGATTTACTATTATTAAATATTGATGAAATATTTGTAGATTTTTTAAAGGTGAAAATTACCTTGTTTTAAAATCGTCTATTTATTACCAGTAACTGAGAAAACATGCACAATTATTATCATATACTCAAAAGGAATAAAGGTAGTAAAGTTTTAAACATTTTGATAAAATTTAAATGCATGTATTAAAGAATGCATGCATGGTCAGACAGTCTTCAAAGTCTGAACTGGTCTAACAATTAAATTATGATATCGGCCGGGACCGGTTTGGCTCAATGGATAGAGCGTGGGCTTGGGGACTGAAGGGTCCCGGGTTCGGTTCCGGTCGAGGGCATGTACCTTGGTTGCGGGCAGATCCCCAGTAGGGGGTGTGCAAGAGGCAGCTGATCGATGACCCTCTCTCATCGATGTTTCTAACTCTCTATCTGTCTCCCTTCCTCTCTATACAAAATCAATAAAATATATATATTTTTTTAAATTATGATATCGGCCGAAACTGGTTTGGCTCAGTGGGTAGATCATCGGCCTGCGGACTTTAGGGTCCCGGGTTTGATTCCAGTCAAGGGCATGTACCTTGGTTGCGGACACATCCCCAGTAGGATGTGTGCAAGAGGCAGCTGATCAATAATTCTCTCTCATCGATGTTTCTCTCTATCCCTCTCTGTAAAAAATCAATAAAATATATTTTAAAAAATAAATAAATAAATTATGATATTGTATACATTAATTTGGGGAGCTCACCCTCATCTCCTGGATTTACTTCATTATGTTTTCCAGTTCTTTTTTTCCCTTCTTCTGGTTCATCATCTGAAGATCCATCATCCTCAGATGAAAGATTGGCTTTAATTTCTTCTAAAAGCATCTTCTTGGCAATTCTTGAGAGTAAAAAGACAATAAAAAACGATATTTGTGGTGAAGTGTAACAAATTAAAAACAAAGAATTACCTCTTTCAAAAGAGACGAATGTGTTAATATATTTTATATTATGAATAAAAAATCATCAGCATTGTTTTAACCTAAGTTAACAACCAAAACTTTTGAAAATGCTCTTAGAACTTATATTTTACTGATGCTATGCAATTCTGCAATATATTGAAAAGTCTGATGGACATTTCTACTATTTTAACCAATTTCAACTTCATACTTGATAATCTTCCAATCCTATACTTGCTCTGCTGTCATCAACCAGTAATTGCCATATCAAACATGCCCACAATAGTGAATTTACTTATTCATACAAATGGCATTCCAAGACAAAACTCGACATGAGATGCTTTATTCCACAGCAAAACATATTCTTAGAAAATCAATCTGTAATAAATTACTTCATTATAAAACAGTGCCTCAAACTGAGGAATAATATTTTTGACCCTTTACTTCATAAATTGTTAACCAAATGAAAGCATACACTAAATATTAAGTATTGAGGCAATCAGAGAGCCCTAATAATACTCAAGCTACGGCAGAGAAGGGACATCAGTGCTATTAATTACACACATGGTTAAACACACACACACACACACACACACACACACACACAAATTATCATAACTGAGTTTTCATCTTCCAAAAAAAATAAATAGTGCTATAGCTGTACTCATACCAAAATTTCTCAAGATATTCAGAGAACTTATTAGCCCAGCAAACATAGCACAGTGGCTGGGCGTTGACCTATGAACGAGGAGGTCACGGTTTGATTGCCAGTCAGGACACATGCCTGAGTTGTGGGCTACATCTCCAGAGGCAGGAGGCAGCCTATCAATGATTCTCTCATCATTGATGTTTCTATCTATCTCTCCCTCTCCCTTCCTCTCTCCGAAATCAATAAAAATTTTTTAAAAAGAACAACATGCTAATGTAAACTCCAATGCTAAAAACATAAAAAAGTACTTCTTTAATACCACCTTGTGTTAAAATAAAATATATTCCTAATAAATTTCCATGGTTACACTAATCATGCAGCTTTTGTGCAAGATGAGCTATTTTGCACTTTTAGATGTCCTTTCAAAATAAATTCATACATCACAGTAGCAAAGGTTCAAAAGGAAGGTGGCGTGATTCTGTTTTCCATGACATTTTATAGAATAAAGTTCTACTCTACTATCCAATATTCTAGCTCATTCAAAAACTCGCAGCTGGAATTGCTGAACTTTTTATTTTTTTAATTTCAAATTCTTTTTTTATATTTCTTAACATGCACTCATTTTCAATCAACAATTCATTTAATGGTAGGAGATGCTAATGCATGTTAATATCTTAACGTTATATCAAAGGTAGAATTGCAGCCAGGCCAGTTCTGTTCAGTGGTTAAAAGTGTCAGCCCACAAAATGAAGGGTCACAGGTTCCCTTCCTGGTTAAGGGCAGGTATCTTGGTGGCAGGCTTGATACCGGCCCTGGTTGGGGGGTAGGGGTGGGAGGGAAATGTGAGAGGCAACCCAGTCTATGTATGTCTCTCACATTGATGTTTCTCTCTGTGATTCCCTCCCCATCCCTTCCACTCTCTCTAAAAAAAAGCTTAATGTAAAAAAAGAGCCTATGGCGAGGATTAACAAAATCAAAAAAGGGGGAGAATTACTATTTATATTAAAAGACATATAGCAGACATCTAAACAGAGTGAAGCAAAATAGGCAATTACTTACTCAAATGCTTATTATATGCCTTTTGGTGCCCCCTTCCTTAACAGAGGAATCAAAAATATTAAGACAACACAGAAAGTTACCATGTGCTAAAAGAAACCATACATGATATGACTTTGCATTTCTGAGGTTTTCTGCCCTGATATGCACTTTACTAAAGAGATTAGATCATTCCCGTTTAAATCATACAAAAGTTGAGTTATAAAATGTAGCTCTTAACCTTCTAGATCCATGGTTTGCTGACTTGGATTGTAAACAATAAACTTTAATATAGCATTGCCAACTTTTAATTTTGCCATGAAAAAAAAAACATTTACTTTGATCATTTTATAAAATAAAAAAGTATTGTCCAGCCAGTGTGGATCAGTGATTGAGTGTGCACCAATGAACCAGGAGGCCATGGTATTATTCCCAGTCAGGGCACATACCCAGTTTTGAACTTGATTCCCAGGAGGGGTCATATAGGAGGCAGCCAATCAATGTTTTTTTTTCTCTTCATTGATGTTTCTATCATTCTCCCCCTCGCCCTCTCTCTGAAAGCAATAAAAGCATATATTTTTTAAATGTTACAATTAATCAACAAGTCATAAATAAATACTTCCAAAAATGACCAAGAGTTCCTTTTGTCGTTTGTAAATAAATAAATAAATAAATATTTCAGCACACCCTGCACAAATTAGGAGTTTCAGAATAAAGGGTGGTTTGTTGAAATTTCATAAGCATATCTCTGGGAAAAATCTAAAATCACCTTTAATAACCACTATATTGTCCTCTCCATAGACAAGGAAAATCTCAAGCCAATTTGGGTAAAAACCAGTTTTGGGGTAATAAACATGCATAAGCATGGGCTTGTGCAGTTTAGGTATTTAGATACAAAATTACAAATAAAAAAGCATGGTTCACTTGCAGTTACAAGATACCTTATCACTATTAAGGTGGTGCAATAATGGCCAGGAAAATATAACTATTAATTTAGTTACCCACACACTGATGAATTACACAATTTATCAACAACCTTCAGTAAGGCCATAATACACAGAACAATCACAGCCACTTAAGAAGCAGAAAACAATTACTAACTTCAGAGAATGGTCCTTTCCCTAAATTGAAATTTATACACAGAGTAATGGAGACTCCGTTAAGATTTACCTCACTAAGATGTTTTAGATTTGCTGTCTAACACCTTTTTCTTTTTTGCTGTCTAACACCTTTTGACCAAAAGAGAAACTCATGTATAGCCATATACATTAAGCAGTAAAAAGGATAACAAAGCTAAACCAATTTACATAAATTTACTCACGGCTAAAGTCCACTACATCAAAGACCTTCTGTATCATAAACCTAGACTATCATATAACCTAAACCTCAAAATTAAAAGTTAATTAGAAAGATGCAAGGGTAGATGCTGACATTCAACCTCAGCAAACATGTTGAAGTAAGTTGTGTCCCATCTACAAAGCCTGCTGTGAGATGCTTTAAGGGAACCTCCACCACCTTAACTCTTGAGTCACAGGCCACAGAGACCTCAAGCACATTGCACTTGAGAACCAGCTGAGGATGGCAAAGCATCACTTTGGAGGCCTTGACTGAACCCATGCTGGTATACATGTGACAGATGTATAATAATTATCCATAATTGATTCTGTTTGCTCTAAAGCTTTCTTTCTTGAGCCTTTCCAGAACATTTCTGGAAAAAATCATCCAGGCACGGAAATATCAATGCTCAATATTTTATCTTGGGGCAGGTGGAACATTCAGAGCAGTCATAACTCTATCAGAAGCACTAAAGGCACAGGCTATGACACTCTTGTGACAGAAAACCTAGGCCGAGCTGGGAGTAATGGAACCAATCCTCCATTTTCCTGAAAGGAAGGGAATGGAAAGGGGGAAAGCAAAACAATGTGGGAGGGTAAAAACCCACAAACAATGAAGGGAACTGGTAGATGAGAAAATAAATATTAAAATTCCAAAGCTAAGCACACTGTCTTCTTAATCTCATAATGAATATCAAAATAATGCTTTATTATACCTTACACTTTAGTAGATGAAGATCTACTAAAAGAAAGCAAAAATAAAAAATGACCCCAACAATGAAAATACAAACAAGCAAATAGAAATAAGAAAGCCTTTTTAGTAATTCTGATCCTATCAAAGGAAATCAGTAATGTCTCTTATTTAAGCAAGCATTCAAATAGGAAAAGAAAGCAAACTGCCTCTTGCTGGTAGGTAGAGATTGGCAATTCAAATTGTTGTTAATTAAAAAAGAATGATCAAGAGATGGGTCTCACTGGGACCGGTTTGGCTCAATGGATAAAGCGTCGGCTTGGGGACTGAAGGGTCCCGGGTTCGATTCAGGTCAAGGGCATGTACCTTGGTTGCGGGCATATTCCCAGTAAGGGGTGTGCAAGAGGCGGCTGATCGATGACTCTCTCTCATCGATGTCTCTAACTCTCTATCTCTCTCCCTTCCTCTCTGTACAAAATCAATAAAATATATTTTTTTTAAAAAGAGAGAGAGATGGGTCTCCAGGACCAGGGATCTTTAGAGAAATGGCCATTAGAAAAGGATTACAAAATGCTAGACCTAGAAGAGGCCCGAGAGTCTAATTTTTGTCATTTTACAAGTAAAGAAACATGCTAAAAGAGGGGAAACTTGACCAAAGAAACAAAGCTAGTTTGTGGTAAAGCCAGGATTATCACCTAATATCTTGAGTCCTAATTTATTACTAATTTTACTGTTTCAGTTCTATATTATCTACTCATTCACTGCTTCTGTTCTAATGACTACACTATAGTAACATTCTTAAAGATATCTGTATTTCACTGAATGATAATACATGTATTTAGAAATTAATTCAAGCTTTAATTTTTAAAGATTTTAAAAGGTGTTCTAAACATCATTATTCAAGATGCTCCATCTCTAAAACGCAACGAAAAGACATCTCAGATTTATGCTCCAAGCTACTGTTTTATCTACTTAGAGAATCTAAAAACAGGTTTAAAGAAAACTATTAAATGTATTTTAGAAGGCCACAATATTGTGTCTCCAAACACAAAAATTTACAATTTTTCAATTGTTTTCTCATTTGTGCACAATACAACAGAATAATTACTTAAAGAATTCTGAATAAGATTATAGGTTTAAATACATGTAATTCATAGAAATAAAACAAGTGTCTATGTAGTGCTAAAATATATTTAAAAGGTTGATATGCAAAACTATTCAAATGACTACAAC